AACTGAATAACCATGGTTTGACTCTTACATAACTGAATCATCTTTATCTGAACTCTGAAAACTATTCCGAGACAACTAAATAGTCTCTTCGAGATTGAAAACATGATATTTACTGCCTTACTTGACTTGATAAGGTGCGACTTCAAGTTTCCAGGTAAATCTGGACTAATGGTCTGTATATCAGACCGCCACATTTTACCCGGCTGAACAACTATTATACGTCGACCTTATATCATGAACATAAATTGTAAATCGTGAACCTGAACTCTGTACTATATAGGGCTGCTCCAGTATCAACTGGTCCCGCAAGGACAAAGTAATTGGCTGATCTTGATTTCTGAAAGTCATAACTTGATAAAATATCTGACATGACTGACTTGAAAGGTTGTTATTACCTGAAATCTTACTGTTTCGGCCCCAGCTTCAAGCCTCCATGGTATACCCGGCTGAGTGGCTCTTATTTCAAGCCTCCATGGTAACCCGGACTATTGACTCTTATACACTGGAAACCGTTACCTTAACAATGACTTGAGAATTATAACAACCTTTAACATGAAAATTCTTGCCTTGAACATGACTTACTGATCTGACTTAGGAACTTTGAGTCTATTCCTCGAATTAAATCAAGGAATTTCTCCTTGGAGTCTGCCAATTGATTGACAAAATGGCAGTTCTCGATTAAAATATTTGAGAAACATGATTATTAAGATTTGTTTAGCACGAGTGCTTACAAATCTTCTGACTAGTTGCTAACTTGACTTGAGTGAATCTAGAATTGAATCTAGAGTTCACAAACTTAATCCTCTTTCTAAGGTTCTGAATCCACTCGTCCCCAATACAGGGATTTCTTACCCGGAGAATTTCTCAACATGATAGTCGCGGAACTGTGCGACTACTGTGGCCTGAATAAAAACTGGGTGATCGGGTTCCCTACGGGGCGGCATCTGAACATTGAGAAAGTTTAACATTACTGAATACATGATAACATTACTGACTGATTACTAAGGCACACAAATCTCTTCACGAGTAGCTAACAATGGCCGATAAATACTGACATGAAACCTGAAGAACTCCAGAGTCATATAGGAAAATCCTAAGGTCTAGAGTCATATCTGAATGCCTGAATTCTAGAGTCATGTCCGAACTCTAAGGTCTGAATCTGATTCGAGCATCTTAACTAAAGTCCTGATCCTCAATTCTGAGCATAGACAAAGTAATATGTTTATAACTGAAAAACTGAATTGCAACAGCACTTACCTGTCGTCGGCGGGGCGTGAGCATGACGGTTCGGGTTTTTCTGAAAATTTACTGACTGAAAACTTATCAGAGACGCAGAAACGTGCTCTGATACCAATTGTAACACCCCACCTTACTGTAAAATCAGAGTTGCGCAATAATTCGCAAAGTCTTTGAAAACTACAACCTTTTTACTTTCCAAAAACTGTTTCGGGGTGCTACCGTGAAAAATCGTTACTTGACTTAGAAAACTGTTGTTTTAATTTAATAAAAATGTTCGGTTACTGAAAACTTAATTTTCTTAAAAGTTCGTCAAAGTGATGAGTTCGTCAAAAGCGTACGACAAAAGATATCAAAAACATCATCACAAGTCATCAAAAGATAAGCGGAAGCGTAAGTCATATTTATACAGTCCAAAACATATATAATTATCCTGAAAGTCCTGTCATGCCCCGTCATGCCACGTCACGCTCCCGGCCCGACATCCTGACCTGAAAAACATGATAAAACTGGGGAGTGAGCACTAAGGCACTGTGCTCCGTGGAAACTCATACTAATGTAAAACATCGAAAATAATAACAATATCATGAACTAAGCATATATATCTGAACTGAACTGATACCGGTCTGAACTCGAGACATAAGTCACGTAACTGATAACTGATCTCGTGACCGAAGCCACGTAGTGACCGAAGTCACATCTGAACTGAACATCTGCTGGCGAATCGGACACCATGTGCACGCTCTAGTGGGCAGACTAGGGCCACTAGAACCCAGAATGGACCGGCGGCCATTCCAA